CTTCTAAATGAGGCGGTGGGGGGAGCTTGTGTAACCCTTCTACCATCTGAGAATGCTTCAGGAAGGTCCTGTGCTAGAGGCAGAATTTGGCCCTGTTAGTGCTGTGATCTTAGGCTCACAGTCTAGGGTCCTTTGCTATAGCAGCTTGACTAGATGCAGGCATCACTTACTAAGTGCTTTTTACCCCAACTAGGAAGAAAGGTATGGCTGAGCTAAAAAGTTGGGGCTGGAGAGGTGGCTTAAGTTGTTCAGAGCACTGGCCGTTCTTGCAGAAGACCTGGGTTTGGTTCCCAGCACCCACGTGGCGGCTCACAACTTCTAGAACTCCAGTTCGGGGGGGGGGGGTTTGACCTCTCTCTTCTGGCCTCTGGGGGCACCAGGCGTGCAAGTGGTCCATACATGCAGACCAAACACCCATACATAGGGAGTAAATAAATTAAAAGATTAAAGTTTTATAAGGTTAAATATGTCAAAGATTTAAAGGTACACTTATCCCGTCTATGTGGCAGAGGGGTTGGGGCCATGAAGGAGAATAAGATAAAAAGAAGTTCTTGCCCGGAGTGGTGGCTTACATGCTTTTAATCCCAGCGTTTAGGAGGTAAAATCAGGTGGACTCTGTGAGCTCAAGGGCAGCCTGTGCTGCAGAGTTCCGGGACAGCCAGGACTACGTAGAAAGAGCCTTTCTCCAAAAATAAAATAAAATAAAAAACCAAAAACTGAAAAAGAGAAGCAACAACTTCTAACTTTGTAAAACTTCCCTCCTGTGTGAAAATGAGAGCACAAACTACGATACAGTAAGGCTGGAAGTACCTGAGGGTGCCTGTGGATAGTAAGGTACCCCAAAAGTCCAGGGGAGCCACACCCAGCGCACCCTCACCACAGACTGAGCTTGGATCAACAGGCACTCAAGGTGCTCCCTTTAGAGTCATGCCTTTGAAATGACTTGTAGCTTTATTCTTTCTGTCCTCCCATCTGTCCATCCCTCCTTCCTTCCATTTTTCTTTCTTTCTTTCTTTTTTGTTATTTTTGAGACTGTATTTTAATAACAAACATTTCTCGCTTCCGCTTTCCTTCTCCAAATTCTCCCATACGCCCCTCCCTGCTCACCTTCAAATTCATGGCTTCTTTTGTCAATAATTGTTATTGTATGCAGATATGTCTATGACTATAAATATATATTCTTAAACATATATGAACGTTATATGAACCTGTTGAGTTCATATAATGTCATTGTGTGTAGGGTTGTAGGCATTGTAGGCTTTCTTTAGAGTTACAGGCAACTTCGAGCAGCCTGATATGGGTACTGGGAACTGAATTCAGGTTCTCTGAAAGAACATCTAATTTTTAAGAAGTTATTGTGGGGCCTGGAGAGATGGAGCCGTTAAGGGCACTGGCTCTTCTTCTAGGAGACCCAGGTTTGATTCCCAGACTCACGTGGCTGTTACAACTGTCTGTGGCTCCAATGGCAGAAGATCTTGGGACCAGAGTGCTGATCTGATCTCTTCTGGCACTGTATGCAGGTGGCACACGCCTTTGGTCATCAGCACAGTCAGGCAAAACAATCATACAAATTAAATAGAAATAATAATTTTTTTTTTCGAGACAGGGTTTCTCTGTGTAGCCCTGGCTGTCCTGGAACTCACTCTGTAGACCAGGCTGGCCTCAGACTCACAGAGATCTCTGCCTACCTCTGCCTCCCCTCCTGAGTGCTGGGATTAAAACCATGTGACACCACCATCCGAAAAAATAAATTCTTAAAAAAAAAAAAAGAAAAGAAAGGAAGAAACAAAGAAAGAAAGAAAAAGAAATTGTGTGCTGAATGTGGGGTTATATACCTGTCACTCCAGCTACTCAGAAAGCAGAGGCAGGAGGATCATTTGGACTCAGGAGTTAGGGGCCAGCCTGGACAATATAGCACAACCCTGTTCTGTTTCCCCCCCCCCCAAATAAATTGTTAATTTTATTAAGAATGACAATTGCCTGATTATGTTTAATTAGTGTTTTCAAAACTGTGAACTACATAACAAAGTGAAACCATGTCTGGATGATCTCTAAACGACTATGTCAGAAATAACACCAAGAAAATAAAATAGGTGGGTGTTGACAGCTGATCTAGTAGATCTATAGAAAAACATCACCATTTGAATGCACATTTTGGGTTTCTTCACCATCAAAGTTAAGCGGTTGTTTAAGAAATGAGCATGAAGTCTACATCATGACAGTACCCTTCTGGAGGTTTCCCACACAAAATGAAGCAGGCTTGATGCCTAAACCTCTTGTGTTCAGAACTGTCAGCAGCGACGGGATCTAGCTGAGTTGGCAGAGCGCTGGCTTGGCATGGTTGGAGTCTGGTTTTTTCTCCAGGATTACACAAATGGGTACAGAGGTGTACCCTGTACTCCCAGTATTTGGAAGGTTAACAGGAGGATGGAAAGTTCAAAGCTATCTTTGATGCAGCAAGTTAGAGGCTAGCCTGGGCTATAAAAGACCTTATCTTAAAATAACAACTGCAGAAAAAAAAAAAGAAAGGAAGGAAGGAAGGAAGGAAGAAAGAAAGAAAGAAAGAAAGAAAGAAAGAAAGAAAGAAAGAAAG